CCCCCCCCCCCCCACCACAAAAAAAGGGACAACTTTGTTAGGTTTATTAAAATTAATAAATGTAACTCCTTTTAATTAGGTTTATTCCAATTAATAAATGTAACTCCTTTTAATTTTCACAAAACAATTATGTAAGAGAACAGTGATCAAATTGACATGCTAAATCTCATGTTGCAAGGGATATATGGGTACGTGATAGCAGTTTAGTGTTTACAACCGAATAGAAGCAAAATGTGGTACAAGAGATCAAGAGAAATTTTCGATACAAAACATAAGATATGCATAAATAAATAGAATTCTATCCACCACAATAAGAAATTATCTGTCAGCTCAAGACACAGGATCTCATATCTTCAATGTACAACTACGTCACCACACTTACTAGCAATGTCTGCTCCAAATCATTGGTGTGAACATTAGAAACTGCACGCAGAACATAATCAGAAGGGGAAAGCCCTAGCATAAGAATATTCGGCCTGAAATCAGTAACTTTTCCTTTTGATTTCTCCTCCTGAAAAATCACAAAAATTTGTTGAACAAAATCTTTGAAGTACTTATTGAGTACCAAATCTAGTACGAAAAATTAGGTCGCTACAGGTTAGATTCCCTTGTCCCAAGGCAAGGCTCAATAATGAAGAGGAAAAAAGTGTGAGACTTTGACACTAATATTCAATATCAGAATATAAATTATGTGGCACGTAGTGAATAAAAAAGGTAAGAACACTTCATACCTCATGCTCAGCAATACGCTTCAGTTCTTCCTCTGCCATGTCTATTGACTCAATTATCAAGTCAGTGGCATTAATAGTTTCTTGAGTTTTCTTCCCAGCTAATGCTACAGCTCCTTCCTCTGGAAGTTCTTCTTTTGGCAAATACCTATTTTCAAATGCATGATCAATGTCAGATTCAAACATCTCTTCCAACCTTTTCTCTTTCTCTTCCTGCAGATAAAATCGCAATTATGGTTTTCGCGGTGACAATTAATAACAAGCTCCAACCAAAGTGAGAAACAATAAGGGGAAATATGTAACACGTTTACTTATCACAGCAACTTAAGCAGAATGGAGAACTTAAAAGGGAGTACCTCGACAAAGAAAGGCTCTTCTGTACGATCCCAACGGCGAATGGATCTATCATGAGATCCTGTTACAAGATAATCCCCACGGTTGCTAATTGCAAGACACCAGACCTCGGAGTGATGACCTTCAAGAGTTAAAAGCAATTCAAACTTGTCGGCATCCCAGTATTTCACAAGGCGGTCTTTCCCCACACTAAACATGTAATGCGTATTGCGTACAAACTTAACTGCCATGACACTGTAATGAAAGCATATAAAAATGTAAACTTATGCTCAGAGGGGGAGGGAGAGGGGGAGGGAGGTGCAAAGACATAAAATATAATTTTTGGCAAGGCATTGAAGCACCTATCGGCATGAGCAAAAAGGGACTTGTGGCAATCACCAAAATCTAGACCCCAAATCTTTAAATTTTTGTCTGCAGAGCCAGTAACAATTAGATCTCCATCAGATGATATGTCCATACATAACACGGGCAGCTTGTGGCCATACAAGGAGAGGAAAAACTTGAGTGAATCCATGAAGAACACCT